GCCGGAAGGTCATGGGTTCGATTGCCGATGAGGTCATTGAATTTTTTTTCAGTTTGCCTAATCCTTCCAACCGCACTATGGCCTTGAGGTCGACTCAACCTCTAACAGAAATGAGAACCACGAATCTTTGGGGGTGAACGGGTGGCCGTCATATAAGGCTGACAGGCTCACTGCTATCTGTGAGCCGATTATCTAGAGAATGTGGGAGCTTCAACATCTCACAACCCTGTGGGCCTCCACGGTCTGTCAGAGGGATAGATTTACCTTACCTTTTGAATGCCGAATGTACATAAACAACACAAAACGTTTGTCGTTCCAGGTGTTATGAAGCAGATTGTGCAGTCTTCGGAGATAAGGACTACATCTATCGACTGGGCCGAACCGAATATGTTTTTTACCTGAGGACGGAAGCAGAATTTAGTCTCTGAAATGTCGTTTAAAATAATATGATGGATAATGTCAAAAAATCAATAATTGTATTAATATACCATCGTCACGAAATTGATCTGCAATATACGCGATGCTGATTACCTTGCGTGAAAGCAAAATCAAAATGCTTCCTCAATATTTTATAAACTCATCAGGGAAAACGTTATCATAATAGCAGCAGCATTGGATAACTGTAACATCAGCATGCATTGCACTCACAAGAGACCAAAGTAGATGCTGCAGTTTCAGATGCAAATGCAGGGAATCTACGAGTGACGCGTTAATGTCGTAGCAGTAACCTACAAGGGCAAGACCGGAATTGACACATTTTGTATAAAAACCGAGTGTCTCCAAAATGATCAATTCTTCCTCCTTGGCTCACTTGTACCCCGCAGATTGAAAAAGTATGTTCCTCCGCAACATTGGTACCAGCCTACAAGACAACACAGTGTCATAAACCGGAAAACCACGATATGAATCGTTACCTCCATAAACCATTGTGTCTCTGATATAATTCTGTTCTGTACTACAGGGAGATCGAAAAGTCGCGCACATCACACTAGGCAATTATATTTTGCTGATTCTGTTAATGGCCGTCGTAATGTTCCTCTTGAGGTCATCCAGTGTATGCTTATTTCTTTATAGACAATTCCTTTGAGGTACCCCCAAAGGAAAAAATCTGCGGGTGACAAATCGGGCGAACGCGGGGGCCAAAATCCTTTCGAAATGAGACGGTCACCAAAAAACTCGCACAAGAACTGCATGGCTTCATTAGATGTGTGACATGTGGCACCATCTTGCTGCAACCAACACTCACGTTCATCAACTTCAAGAAGCACAATAAACTGTCTTGGTTTATGTCTTATGATGTTTATGATGTCTTGGTATACTGGACTGTTCACTGTTGTTTCAAAGAAAATTTGCCCACTATTCGACGACGTGATACAGCACACCACACTCCAATTTTCTGACAGTGCAAGGGCTTTTCATGTAACACATATGGATTTTCAGATGATCAAATCCTATTGTTTTGACTGTTCACGTAGCCACTAAGGTGAAACCACGCTTCGTCAGTGAAGAAACCCCGATCAGACTCTTCAATTCCACGAAAACTCGTTGTTATTGGGAAAACAACTTGTCTGTCACGCAATAAACAAAGCTATACTGCAGACGTCGTATGACCGATACACGACAGATGGCGTTTCTACTCGTTTGTTAGTACTTCTGCAGTACCATCTAGTGGTAGGAGATATAATTATATTAACTACAACACAATTTATAACAACTTTTAGTTTGATGTGCTCGACATTTCGATCTTCCTGTATATCTTCTGAAGTATCCGAGAACAGACATTTCCGTCAACAAAAATGGAAAGGATTAAACCCGATCTTCGAAGAATTATGTATTAAATACTTAATACTAAATGCCTCAAGTATTCCAGCCAATGTAGTTTACTGTTGCCATATTCTGTTCTATTTTTAACTGCTGCCAATTTTGTCATCTTTTGCTATAACCGATGGCATTTGGTGTCATCATTTTGTCCTGTTGGTTACTGCTTGCTAACATACATCTGTCTATGGCTCTACAGTCCTTTAGTTGGACCGTTGACCGCTTTTTCAGTTTCTTAATCCTATACACAGTCGGTAGGACTCCTTGGACGGGGATCAGCCCTTCGCAAGGCTGCTACCTACGCACAGAATAAACGCACGCAGACATCCATACCTTAAGCAGGATTAGAACCCACAATCCCATCTTTCGAGGGAGCGAAGACAGTCTATGCCTTAGACCGCGCGGTCACTGTGATCAGCTGCTGACACAACCGTGCATAAATAGTCTTTTAAGGAACTTACAGATCCATTGTACTTCTCTGTTCTCAGCTTCCGTTTTCTTCTTGTCACGGGTGTACAATATTCGTCATTGCAACATTTTAAGAATATATAATGTATGCGTGTAAAACGAGCTCTGAGACGTGGAAGTCTGCTTATCGACACAAACATGTTGTCTTCAGATCGGAGTTCAACGTATCAACCCTGCTCTATCTTCTGGTTAAGATCCTTAGTACACTGTACATCACCAGGCGATTTCCGTGATGCTTGACGTATCATAGAAGAGACTCAGACTATTGAGGGAAATGGGTAGATTAATACGTAATTAGATGCAGTCTGTTTGAAGTTCCTGCCGCATATGTGTCTGCCAGTGTGACGGGAGGGACACGCTACTCGAGTCAGTTGGTACCGCGCAAAGTTGAACTCGTGGTGTAGTCGACAGGCTAGTGGCCTATCCATATTGTGGCATGTCTGCTGAAAGCCAGAATTACGGAACCAAAGAAACAACATTGTTGGCTAACGGTTCTGTAACCCGCATCAGTGGAGTAACTGGGAAGCGATGTTCTCTATGCGGTCCGTGCCGATAGCTACGCATTGCAACAATATAACTGTTGGGAGAGAAGCTACCCCGTGTGGAGACGTGGTCGTATACCTCCACCGTAGCCCTGCGAGTCGTAGGAGGGGACGAAAAGGGAAACCAGTGCCTGTGGGTATAACCGGGGGCCACCCTGTTCCTGGAGAATATAAACACGGGGTTCTGGCCCCCCAGGTTTTGGGAGTCTCGAATTTGAGACAGTAAAATTTGGCCACGAGTCCCTCGGGAGTCGGACCTGAGAATGACTGCGCTGACGAGACCAGCAGCAATTGTAACCTACAGACCCATCCTTTCATCAGAGAGGATGTTACATAAGGACTAGGGAAGCAAGTATTCAGTTGAAAAAAAAGTGCTGGTCGTGAGTCTCAAGGGGCTTGTCGCCAATTACGTATCTTTGTCTTAAAGCAGAAGATGAAAACTCATGACTATGTGGGATGAGTTCAGTGGCTTTTTTCAGTACTGTATAATTACTTCCCTGGAGCCTTTGAGCAAAGTTCCATTCCAGTTCAGTGCCTGACAGTCCTGGCTTCTCAACACGACGGCAGGGGTTGAATTGCATTTCAAACCGGAGGTATTGTTGTCCTTTTTAAAGTACCATTGCACCTAATAGAGCTTCACAGCTTTTGTCTTTAATCTTATAAGCCCCTTTCATAAATAGACATAAAATAATTTAATTTAATTTTACTCATTTATGTAATGAATTTTATACCTTGAATTTTATTCAGGCGCAAATGGATTATTACGTTGACACACTCACATCGTTAGGTAACTAATGACATTGAACTCATTTCTGGTCGTATTGATTTACATATTACTCGTACTTATGTATGTCATTATTTAACAAAAACACATCTGGGTTGATAGACTCCTCATAGTTATTTATACGTTGTTAAGTTTTTTTTTTATTTCCTTGTGAAAAAACATTGAAGTTGCATCCTTATTTAAGCGCTGGAGCATTTTGGCATGTATGTGAAATAATTCTATTAAGGTATTGCTGAAAATATAGTGGTCATTTTCATGTATCACCTTGTATAAGCGTCTAGAGATACTTAGCAGTATTTTATGTGCTTTACTAGTTTCAGGATTTAATACATTAATATTATTTATACAGTAAAGTGTTATAGTTGCATGCAAATTTAGAAATTACGGAAGTTACTTCAGAGATCTCTTCACAAAAAACATGTATACTTTTCCTGCAATTCCACTTCCACCTTCCACCATATGCCTTTCTGTAGTAGTTGGGCTAGAGATTGTTGTTTCACTACTATGTATTATTTATGCTATTCACATATCCTTTTCATATTGCTACTCAGTCATATTATAACATTATACTCCATTAACCTCAGTGTAAAAGTATGGTAACAGATATCTCTTTCATAAGAATTAAAATTCTCATATATACACCAGGATATGTATACAGTTGCCATCTTGTAGTGTACTCAATTTCACCTGTCACTTCACGACATGTTTCGGCAACATAGTGCCATCATCAGGTGCCCTAATTACGCTAATCTATTTCATTGCTTGCCTTTATAAAATTATTTAAAAAGTATTTAAAAAGTGCGTATTTGTCAACTATAATAAATTTACACACACTAAAACTTGTTAAGATTATTCATCTTATGTGTCATAATTAGCAGCTAAGAAGGGAACACACATCACAAGACACGGTTTACACAGAATATAAGAAAAACGACCCCCATAGTGGAAGAACCACACGCAAGTTTTAATTATGACACATAAGATGAATAATCTTAACAAATTTTAGTGTGTGTAAATTTATTATGGTTGACAAATAAGCATCTTTTAAATACTTTTTAAATAATTTTATAAAGGCAAGCAATGAAATAGATTAGCGTAATTAGGGCACTGGTGATGGCACTATGTTGCCGAAACTTGTCGTGAAGTAACAGGTGAAACTGAGTGCACTACAACTATATACATATCATGGATGAAAATCAGTGCAACAGGACGCTAAAATACAACATTATATATACACCAGTATTTTTTCGGTTTGAATTTATAGGTGCAATACGTTTGAAGACATGTGTTGTTATACCTTAGAAATTCAGTGTATACTGGTGCACTACATGTTTTGCTATAGTGCTGTACGAAACTTTCTAGTAGTATGGCTGTCTTTCCCATCTCAGTGTCCCCATGTAGGGGTCAAGATGTCAAAGGATGAGGAACATAGTGGTCAGGGGCCGCTCTGGCAGAGGATGTCACGTAGTGTGAGCGACTCTACACTTCGCCATCCTCGTCCAAATCTTACGCTGCCCCTTCCTTCTGTTACTTCTCTCATGCAATTTAAGGTAAGGAAGTTAGCAGTTTACCCAGTGTATAATTGGAATGGAGAGTAGCTGAAAATGTAGTTCTTTAACCCATTTCATTGAAATAAACACTAGTAGTCGTAGAAGTTGTAGTTTTTAAATGTCTGATGATGATCGTGGTAGTTTTGAAAAATCCGGTTGAATCAGATAGGAACCAATCAGTTATAAAATTTAGATAGTCGTATTTTCTGAACCTTTATAATACCTCCTTATTTCAGAACTTTTTGTAAGAAAAGGATTGTTTCTGTATTACAAAAATTCTTAAAAATATAAAGAAAAATGAAACTATGCTTTCACAAGTTTCATTTGTTAACAGAAAGGAATTGTCAAAGTTAGTCCAAAATTAATTGTTAGAACAAAATTAATGAGGTGTTTTGACTATGTTTCTTATATGCTGGGTGCTGGTAAAATGTGGTTAACAAAAAAATCGTTTCCCAGTGTTTCATGTAACCCATGTGAGGTGTTTCCACATATTTCAGAAGGGATTAACACAAACGTAATCCTGTTGCATTATTCTGATTATGACAGTGTTTATCATATTCGGTTTCCGTCATGTTACAGACGTCCATACTGTGTATTAAATTATTAACACTTAAGGCGGTTTTACTCCGGTCTTATGATAGACGTTATACATTAATTGATATCTGAGTAATGTTAAAAAATATAAATGTAAGAAACGGTTTACTTTCTTATTTTCTAATCATGTGGCACTTCAACATTCGTATAGCTTTTTTCTTATTCACCACAGTTGTGCGAAAGTTCGACAGATCGTTCCACACACCCACACGGACCTTGTTGCAAGAAAACATGTTCCATGTCATGCCTCCGAAGATGGCCAATTTTATGCAAGTGAAGAACAAATTTCTTCAGGACCCTGGTTATAGTTTCTATGGAAATTGCTTCATTCTCTGATTGGAATTGCAGTTTTCAATCCCTGAATCGTATGCTAATTTTTCTGAAACACCCTCTCCATGAAGTACCCCTCCCCCATTGCAGAAAGTAATCGCTGGATTTAGTGTGGTGAGGCTGGTGGCCATGAAAATCCTTCCTCAGATACAGCAGAATACCAGTTGAGTAGGACTTTATCCTCGAAGGAGTCATGAAGATAGCGAAGTACAGTATTGCCGATGTGAAATCTGACATCATCTTGTTTTAAACCAGGCAAAATTAATGGAATGCCATAACCCATCAGGAAAGAGACAAATTCTTCACTCAGCAGAGGCTCCCACACACAGACGCGATACGATTCGGGACGATATAGCACTCGGGACGAGAGCGGCTGTTTACCGAGTGGACCGCGCACACAGCCGCGACACTCGGGAACTCGGGAATCTTTGACACCCGATAACCAGCTGGCCATGACTCACACTCAATCAGTATCTATACGTAAGTGAAAAGACATGGGTAACCAAATGGAACAAATAATAGAGTTCGTCAAAGAAAATGCTTTATTGTACGATACTCATCGTCCGATGTACAAGGATTCACGTGCTAAGGATAGAAAGTGGAAGGAATTGGCTGTTAACAATGAACAGAGACAGCAAGTAGAAAAATCTGTATATATTTATATAGGGTTAAGTATACAGTAACTGTGGGCATTCTTAGTGTAGGCTATGCACCAGTTCCGTTCACTAACATGAATTCCAGGGGNAGGAGTTGAGGTATCAATGTATAAAACTCCCTTAGTTCCTCTCTTGACAAGTTTATATCATGAACCCAAGTGATTCGTCTCTTTCGCCTAAATACGAACACACATAGCAACCACTTATACATACTTAATTAGAGACTCGTTATGGAATTGTAAATATTTGTACATATATATGGCATACTGAATATGTGTAGGAAAAGAACTACGCAGATTTAGTGTTCAGTAAAATACTTGCCGGGATTCACCTTCGTCTTCATCAAGAGCGACAGCTAAAAGCAAAACTTCTTCCTCCAAAGACGGATCCATGACTATTTACCGCTGCGATACCGAGCGGTCTACCGAGTGCGCTCGGTAGACCGAAATACCGAGGCGATATACCGACTGCGATAATATCGCGTTCCTCGGAGTACCGCGCCAGTGTGCGGACCTCCATTTACCGCAATGTAATTAGATATCGTCCCGTACCGTACCGAGCTGCGTATCGCGTCTGTGTGTGGGAGCCTTAAAGGCTCTGAGTATTCCGACGCTCGATAACGCACACAGTACTTTAAATCTCTCTGAATGCAGTGGTTTGGCAGCGACAAGTCTTTCATTCTCAGAGCCCCATTTTTCTTGTTAACGTAGCTACTGAAGTGGATGTGTGCATCATTAGGGACCCATGTAACGTGCAGGATACACGAACTGCCCTGCAGTAGCACTCCGTATTCCCTTGCAAAATCAAAGCGCTTTTCGGCTTCCGACAATGGCTGACTCAGCTGCAGTTTGTAGACCCCGTGCGAGAACTCGTGGCACTGCGCAAAGATCTGCTTGGATCCACGGCAGACTCTTCGTGAACAAGAAGTGCCAGAGGGATTATCTGCTTCAGTTGATTTCTAGTTCTCATTCTGGTAAGGTCGCTGTCACCTACTACAAACCAAACTAAAAAGATGGAACTGTGTTGCTGTTCTTCATTGTCGATCCTGATTGTTGTTATCGTTAATTCAAGTTTCATCATTGATAAAAGGTTGTGTTTGTTTATTTACACTTACCTATATTGCAGCATCTAATTGAATAATGTGGTATCACCTGAGAACGGTCGTAACAGAGTTGTTCACAGCAAAGGACGCGAGATAATTTATAATCTGTGGAAAATTGTGTCAGACGAGGCAATGAATTGCATAAAAATATATTTTAAAAGTGTTAGTTCAAGGATGCTGTCCGCCGCTGTCGATTCGAAGAGAACTGTTGCAAGAATTATCAAAGAAACAAGGAAAATCGAAACAGCCATGTCAACTTCATTCTCACCTCCGAGGAAATCACGCCCAGAAAAGATGGCCGCAGTCGCAGAGAAATTCGTTGAGGATGTCATTAGAAGATTGATTTATTATTTTCATATGACAGAAAAACAGCGGCCTGCTTTGAGTACTTTGCCTCCTCTGATTCGTGATAACATCAGTTTCGAGGGAGGCAGAATGTTTTCCAGTGTAGTTTTGGATAAGGTATGGTTCTGGTATTTAAAAACATGGGGTATATGAACACAAACTTGAATGATTGTTTGTATTCAACATGTCCGAATAATTGGAAGGAAATCTCGGCTAATGGTATAGAACGCTGTGAAATTAAAGCCCCGAGAATGTCATATCGCATAGCTGTAAGACCTACCGTCAGGCAGGGCAGTAATATACGTACAAGATGTACGGTTGAAAGGTATCCCAAATAAAATCATTATATCTCAGGAAGAATTTATTATACACATTAATTGAGAAAGAAACTAGTGAAATGCTACATTTGGAGCATGGCTTTGTATGGGGCAGAAACTTGGACACTTAGGGCAGTAGATCAGAAACACCTGGAAAGCTTCGAAATGTGGTGTTGGAGAAGGATGGAGAAGATCAGTTGACCTAGTATGTGAGAAATGAAGAAGTGTTATTTAGAGTCAGTGAGCAGAGGAATATCCTACACGAAATAAGAAAACGGAAGGCTAATTGGATTGGTCATATCTTACGCAGTAACTGCCTTCTAAAAGAAGTTATTGAAGGAAAGATAGAGGGGCGGATAGAAGTGACCAGAAGACGTAAGAAGATGCTGGATGACCTTGGGGACAGAAGAGGATATTCTCATTTGCAGGAGATCGCATTAAGTGGAGGAACTGTTTTGGAAGAGACTGTGGGCCTGTCGTCTGACAGATTACTGATGAATGAATTAATGGCTTACACCATTACAAAGGGAAACTGTCAAAGTTTTTTCTGCGTATATAACTTTCACAGTAAATATAAATGTGCGCTCCCTTGGTGGCACGAGAAATATCCAGGATTGAAGCATGTTTGATGTTACTATAGCCACCACGACCCTTATGCGGGCTTTCAGGCGTTGAAGGTCGTTGATCTTAACCTGGTAGACAATGTTCTTCACATAACCCCACAAGAAAAAATTCACTGGGGTTAAAGCTGGCGACCTAGGAGGCCAAGGGGTTAGTCCACCTCTGCCAATTCATATCCGAGCCATCTCTCTGTCCAGGTGATTCCTAACATGGTGGCAAAAATGTGGCTGCGTATGCGCGTAAGTCTGATATGGAAAAAAAAAAACTTTCAGAGTTTTCCTTTCCGATTACATAAACCGGATACGTGTATGACAGTTTCCGAGACATTTTTTGTTTTGGATACCCTTCATCCGGACACCCTGCATGTAGGTGAAACGTATCCACACAGCTCCTGCACCACGTCACATGAGTGGACAGATGTTGGTGCCACGATAGCCAAAGCTCCCATATCCAAAGGTCGGCGTCTCATTTTCGTTCATGTCGGTAACGAATTAAAACTATCAAAATTACAGTTTGTAATGGAGCTCAGAAATAATAGAAATTATGTCAGGTTTCATAATTCTGTTACTTATACTCGTACACCAGATCAGTTTGACCATGTTTACTGTATCGTGAATTTTCCCCTTTACAGAAGTGGAGGCTCGTTTTGTCCCTAATGCCCTTTTAATTTTTAAATCCAGGATGGAAGCTGGAGATTTACGAAGAAATGAACGCACGAAATTTTACTTGGTGTTTTAGTCACAGAAATTTTGTCATAGCTATTAGCATGCAGCCGTCCGTGATCATTAAGCTACGTGAATACTGTCGCATTTGTTAAATGTTTCTTTACATCAGATCGCTTTAGCGGAAGCTGATACCCAGTCTCGCCTATAATGCGGTTGTGTTGGACAACACATTATATCACAATGCCCGCAATGACAGACCATCTATAGCAGGCATGTCCAACTTCAAACAAATTGTGATAGACTTTTTAGTGTCAAAACTGCCAGTGATCTACCACCCCCTCCTATCGTCGTACCTCGATTTAAGCAAAAA